GGCCAACAATTCTCCTCACACACCAGATGGCCTCTGACCTATAAGTGGAAGGACAAATTCTGACTAATTTCTCCACAGAATTTGCCTTAGTTTGGGTTCCCCAGAATTAGATAAAATTTGAGCTATCCAGAAGGAACTGAGAAGTGGGGAGGAGGTCAGCAGGAGGAAAGGTGGGGCACAGCTAGAGTTCTGCTGGGCTAGGAGCCAGACCCTCTCTGCTGAGCTACTCCCAGGCTTGCTTCTCACAGCAGACAGTGCCCCACAACAGGGCAAACAGGCCCTAGATAAGCTCCCCACAGTTCCCCCCATGCCCTTTCACTAGGTATGCCTTGCACTTCTCTTATACCCATCAAGCTGCTTTACTGTTAGGTCTTTGTTCATGCTGGTCTGTCTAGAATGACTTCCCATCCTTTCCACCTTTAAATTACACTTCAGTCATCCCCAAGGCTTGGGGAACCTTCCTGGGTAATTCCTCCCGGCCCTAACCCCAGCTGGGTGTGGCCTATGGGTACTATCTTTGCATTGGTAACTGTGGGCTCCAAGCACATGCTTCTTACTCATCTTTAGAGCTCCAGAGCCCACTTCTAGGCCTTACAAGAAATAAGATGTTAATTTTTGTTAAATTGAAGAGCCCTCCCACAACCTCAATAGTCCAGGGCTTTTGAAACTGAGAGGAAATCAGTAACTTCTTCCTGCCTTCCTAGTGCATATGGCTTTAGCCTTTACATTAGGTTTACACATGCCTCCATCTCCCCACTGATACTTCTATCCACTTAGTGTTACCCACCTTCCCTTCACCCTGCCAAGTCAATTTAGAGCCAAGACTGCCCTCACAGGTGAGAAAGAGCCCTTCCAAACCCGAAATCTCCACGGAGATTTTGTTACTCAAGGGAGAGGTGGGAGGTAGTATAGTGAAGGACGAGCATGAGCTCTGCTGTCAGGCAGACCTGAGTTCAAATACCATCCCACTTACCAGCTGTAGGTCCTTAGTTTCTTCACTTCTCTCGGCCTCAGTTTGTCCATGTGTAAAAGATGGAGACTAATTTCCCCACAGGATTTGCCTCAGTTTGGGTTCCTCAGCATTAGATCAAATTTGAGTGTAAATAGTTTAATTGGAAAGCGATCCACGCCAGGGCTGGGATTAGAACGATGAATGTGAGGTGTCCTGCTACAGAATGTAAAAAGTTCACGGACGTGTCAACCCCGCCCTTATATGAACCCAAGAGTGAGTATCCCTCACCCAGGTCCCAGCCCTGACCCAGTAAGCACTGGCAGGGGAGTGAGCAGTGAGGTAGAAAGGAAAGGAAGTCAATGACACGATGTAATCAAGTTGCTGCTGGGAGATGAGCCCTATAGAACTGTTTAGAATGAACCCACCTGCGAGGCGAGGAAGCTGTGGTATTTATCCTCCAACTTCCATCTTTCACTGGCTGAGGGCTGCTTCAGGGCCCTAATTACTTGTCACAACTTCAATAGTCCAGGTCTTTTCAAACCGAGAAGAAATCAGAGCCTGTGACACAGAAGCCTAGAGAAGTGCTACAGCCGTCACAGGTTCTTGCAATAGGACCCTGTGGGGTACCTAACTAGACTGGTGAGTACCCAGGAGAAACGGGCAAGGCACTGCTTCTGCCAGAGGGCTATTGGAAGGACGAAAGACTCGTAATGCCTAACACAGAGAAGTCCGCTTTTCTTTCCCCGTTTATGGCAACCGCTTGTGAAGTTCATGGAGCTCCTAGATCTCCATGAGTCCACACTGGCAGAACAGGGGCTTCCCATCTTGGGAGAAGCAGGAAGCCCCCCAGGATCCCTAGGAGACCTCTAATTGCCCAGGGTTCAGGGGTGCTATGGAAGGCTGGCGGTTGATGGAGCTAAGGTGGAGGGTTTGCTCCTCTAAGAACTGTTTCTTCCTGCATCTGCACCCCACATCTCTCTGGCTTTCCCACCTCTCACTGTAACACTACTTACAACATACAAAACTAGCACCTTGTTTAATAGCAACTACTGTCACTTCCTCACCATCCTCTATGTGGTTGATACTGTGCCTTTATATGCATTATCTTAACTCTGAGAACCCTGTAAGATTTTATTTCCCCATTTTATGGACAAGTAAACGATCTCAGAGAGGTTAACTTTCGTCAAAAGCAGGGGTTCAGACTCAGGTTGATGTGATACTCTCCAAAGACTACTTCTTCACTGTCTCAACAATGCCGTCCCACAGGACCATGAGAGTACTAAGATAAATAGGCAGCCTGTACCAAAAACAGTGGGGGTGGGGAGGGGACACTGGGGAGTTGGCTGTTTCCCCTTGACTCCCTATTGTTCCTGGTTCTGCTTATTCCACACACTCCTCCAATAATTTGCCACTAACCCAGGTTCTAGTAGACTGCTTAATTTTAAGCTAAATAATTCACTTTGTAAAATCAGCCTTTCTCTTTTCTTATCTTTAGGCAAGAAATAGCATACTATCCCCTATTATAGAACTCTACCTCCAATAAATTGCTATTTAATGAGAAGACTAGTGGGAGTTAAGCTAATGGGACATAATTGATAAACTAATTTTCATTAGATGGCAAACAGGAAAATAATCAATACTAGAATCAAAATATGACATTTTCTTTAGGAGTGAAGAGGAGGGGCATTGTAGTATCATTGCCATGGACAATAAGTGGCTTTGTTTGTTCTTAGCCTTTGTTTCCTCATCTGAAAATTGGGAAGGTTAATACTACCTCACAGGATTGTTGTGAGGATAAAATGAAGTCACATACATTGCCTGAACCATAGTAGTTGCTCAAAAAATAACTGCTATTTTGTGATGTTGGCTTCAATATAAGGACACCAAGACATGGAAGGAATAGACGGTGAACCAACCATCTGGAAGGCACCCAGACAGGAAACAGTGCCTTCCTAAAGGCCTGTGCTGTGCCTTCCATCCTTTCTCTCAACTTCCCAGTCTAACACACACCTCATTTTCATCCTATCTAATAGAGAGGGAATATGCTAATTGACCATCATGCCTTCACAAAGATGGCAGTGCCCACAGCCAATAAGGAATATGCTAATTGACTGTTGTGCCCTCAAAGATGGTGGCACCTACAACCAGAAGATGGCAGCGCCCAGTCCCCTCAGCCCCGCAGCCACCCAGAGCAGGCCTGAGGCCCAGGCAAGCCTCAAATGGCAACTGCCCAGCCAACCAGGGCCACCTGAGGTTCAGGTAACCAGTTCTAGCCAAGGCTTCCACTGCCAGCGGTAGCAGCAGTAGCAGAGTTGTGATGGGGTGTCACCTTCCCCTGATTGCCAGGTCACCTCCCCCCTTCTAAGGGCTCCCAATATGTGAGGGGGCAAGCCAGGCAGAGGGACCCCCCCTCCAGTGCATGAATTTTCATACACCGGGCCTCTAGTTTTAAATAAAGGAAAAGGTAACTTTGAACTTGATAAATCAGAAGTTAGGAAAGTCTGAATGTGTTCCTGTTCATCCTGTCCCAGGATCCTTTCCTGTTCAGCAACCATCTCCCACCGTCTTTCATTACATCTTCAAGTCTGTTTGGGCCAAAGCTAGCTTTTCTAAGTCTTCCTCAGGTAGCTGCTTTTGCCATCCAATACACTCCACAACCGCCTATGCACTGAGAACAGACCACATCACTGTTCTGCTCTGGAAGCTCCTGGGCAATGTGGCTAAGAATGAGTCCGTTCTACGAATGTACTTAAAACAGAGCCCATTTCCTGTTACTGCTGTGACCTCTGACAACAGGAGAACCAATTATGGTTTTAACAAATGAATATGCCTGGCATCCCCACTGGTTAATCTACAAAGGAAAATAATAGCATAGGAAATAACTAAAAACAGTGCTCACTTACAAATTCCTGAGAAGAATGGCAGGACAGATCCCTCAAAAGTCCTATGCTCTGGCTGGGAATTTTTTTTTTTTTTTTTAATTCTCACGTGGGGATATGTTTAGAGGGGAAGAGAGAAACATCTATGTGACAGAGAAACATCAATCGGTTGCCTAACCACCCATGTCCCCAACTGGGGATCGAACTTGCAACCTACATATGTGTCCTGACTGGGAATCAAATCTGCAACCTTTTGGTGTACAGGGTGATGCTCCAACCAACTGAGCCACACGGCTGGGCTGGCTGAGAATTCTTAACTGGGTGAGGCAAAGAGATGAAGTAACAGGTCACTGAATAATAGGAATAGCAGAATAAGGAGTAGGATTCAATGAACTGGCACCTTGCACAATAATGTCAGAAAAGGTCAAGGGGCCCAGCCACTGTGGCTCAGTGGTTGAGCACTGACCTATGAACCACCGTCACAGTTCAACCTCCAGTCAGGGCACATGCCTGGGTTTTGTGCTTTGTGCTTTGTTTCCATTGGGGAGCATGCAGGAGGCAGCCGATGAATGATTTTCTCTCATCACTGTTTCTTTCTCTCTCTCTCTCTCTCTCTCTCTCTCTCTCTCTCTCTCTCTCTCTCTCTTTCTCTCTCTCTCTCTTTCTCCCTTCTCTGAAATCAATAGTTTAAAAAGAAAAGGTCAAGGAAACAACCACACAGTGTTCTGGAACCATGCACTACACATTCAGTGAATACAGGTAGTATATCAAAGACTAGTAAAAACTTTCATTCAGAAACATGTAATTTATAAGTCTGAGAACTAGCCCCACAATTAAAATATCCGTACCCAAAACCTTATAACACAGAGGGGGGAAAAGGAAGATCTCCATCTCATTCAAGTAACATTTCATACAAACATATATAAATATATTTAAATTTTCTTTTAACTATAAGTGAATTCAAACAGGCTGTTATAAAACCGAAAACTATGTACACAATTGTCTGTATAGATTATAGAAAACACAAAAATCAGAATGCTGAGTGAGTGCTGGTGGTGGAAAATGCCGTGTCCAAACTTGCTCAATAATGAACTGGGAGCCACTAAAGCTTAATGACCATGGTCCATCCTTATTGCTAACGGTTTTGTCAACCTTCGGACCCTAGAAATTCAGGATTTTCTCCTCCTTCCTCTGCCTGCTTTGGACCGTGTCCGGCTGCCTGGCCGGACAGTAAACTGCTTTTTAAAGTCCACTAAGCAATCTGTGGCTTCTGAAATGGAAACAAAAGACTTAATGGGAGACTCATTTAAGTTGAGATGTGCAAGGGAACTCTGCATCTCTCTGCTGCAGCCTGCTTCTTCCATCCCTGGTGAGGGTACCCTAGAGAGAAAGGAAAAATTTTAGAATTCAATATTCAGCTACTAATAAGCACTAAGCATACATCATGCATTGTAGCAGGGGTTTTTACATATATTATTAATTCACATAATCTTTGTAATCATCCAACCAAATAAGTAATATCATTCCCCTTTTACAGATGAAGACATTGGGTAAATCATGTACCTTAAAGCCACACAGTTATACAGTAAGAGAAGGAGGATTCAAATTCCCAAGCTGCTTGGAATCCAAATCAGAAGAGCAGGGTTGGATGGGGATAGAGAGGTAGAGAGGAGTAAGAAATAGCTTTTGCTCTGTTTGTTTTAACACAGTAAGTGAACTGAGCTACTTTTCCATCCTTAGCTAAGATATAGGGGGTCACAGAGGCAGAGAGAGCGAGTTCCACATGATTTCTCCCTTCTACATTTTGACTATCATACTATTCACGGAACCCAGGACTAGGCCTCTACTTCTTTAGAATTGCTCACAGCCGCACTTCAATGCACACCCCAATTCACCTGACGGCCACTGTTTCTGAAGACTTGGTCTTTATCTCTGCATCTGTGATAGGAGAGAAAAAGCAATAATGTTGTTAGTAGTGTTGTAGTCATAGCACTTCTCATTGATCATGTGCTTCTTGTATTCTGGGCACTGCTTTTCATCAGGCTTATCCACGTGGCTGCAGACTAATCCCCAATCCCCAGACTAATGGAATGTGAGCATTTAGGATCCAACACTCAGCTGCAGAAGTATGGAGGTGAACACTTTTAAATAAACAACCTCTGGATAAATCTACTTCAAATCTGGACTTGAGGAAAAAGGAGTTGCCAAGGGAAATCTGCCACCTGCAGAGAATCACAACCTGCTGATCTGGAGACAGCAGAACATGGAACTCAGAGAGGCTGCCTTTTTAGTCATCGAAAGCCTTAAGCAAAAGTTCTTCCATCTGCATCTGGTGAATTTTAACAATAGCAAATACTAATAACCACAGTAATGGTAGCAGCTAACGTTTATCCAGGGCCTACTTGTGCCAGGGAATATGTTTGGAGTTTTACTAGATATAAGCCTTGCAATCTGTGAAGTTGGTATTATTAATTCTATGCAATGCTTGTAACCAATCTACTGATCCCTAAATACTAGGCACCAAGAGACAGAATTATTGCCTACAAAAGGAGCATAGGTTGGAACACTAAGCTAAAGGTAACATATGAATGAAGCATATAACATTAGAAGAAAGCAGTAACATTGGTATGTCTGATTTCCCATGTCTGTCCCTTTAACAGGAGTGGAGAACATCTGGCCTATGGGTCATATCATTTGGTCTGGCTCTGCCAAGGCAACCACAGGCAGGATTTAAAATTCAATAAATCTTTTTTTCATAGTAACATAATTTTTAAGTTGTTAATTTTGCATGGTCTGTGAATGATGTTGTAAATAGCCAAATGGTCCTTGGCAGAAAAAAGGTTCCCCACCTCTGCTTGTGTCATTCATTGCCCTGTCATCTGGAAATGTTTTTTCCCAGTTCAACAGGCAGTCCTGGAAGTTTAGGCTTCATAAAACACGAAATGAAATGCATGATGAATAAGACAGGCTATCTCCCCATCTTTCTTAGGGAGAGATGACCTAGACCGAGTCTCAAAGGCTTGCTACTCAGGTGAAATGTGTACCCACACAACTCTAACAAATAAGGAATAGGCAGTGCTTCTTTTCACTTGAAGGCCTTGGCCAAAAGCCCAGAAAACTGGCCCTGGGTTCCTCACCTGCAGTCTTGTGCTCAGACTGTTCCAAGAGACTGAGGAGTCGGCCTTCACTGCGGCCTTTTTCCTGTGGCAGAGACAAATAGATGAAAGGGAAGAGTTACCTCACAGCAGAGAATCTAAAAAACAACTTCCTTAGCCCAGATCACACCTGTCTCCTAAGGAAAGAGGTGTGGAGGCGACCTCTAAGAAAGTCTTTTGCTTTCTCATAAATGAAGGTATACAAGTTAAAAAGCAAACCGTGATGAAGAGAATATATCTTTATGCCAATATTATCGAGGAACGAATTCGAGTGAAGGCAAATTATTCCACCAAGATCATATTAAACACAAGTAGCCTTTGACCTATGATACATTCTGAGAGATTTAAATAGAAAATGACAATTTTGAGGTAAATTCTAGGGGCAGTGATAAGAAGAATAAATTGGCTCTACGGTATAAGCACATACCTATAAAACCTAACTCCAAATCACCACCACAAACCACCCCATTCATACAAAGGTTGCTTCTTCTGTCATGACAGATAATGGCTTCTTCATCTTAGCATACAGTGATTGCTATGGAAGCCTATAACACGGAGCTGCTGTTTTATCTTTCTCTCTAAGCCAAGACTTGCTCTTCCTAATCTCTAATCACAAAGCCCAGAAAGCACATCCATCTTCCCAGCAACCAGAGGCCAGAGCCACAGCTTCCTAAAGCCATGCACACAAAGCGTTCGAGAGAGCTGATCGCACATATTGGCAGTGGGGGTATGATTGGATAACCTTTCTGGAAAGCAATTTGACAGTATGTTTCACGAGATTTTTAAATGTTTATATCCATTGCTCTAAGAATTCCACTTTAGAAAATTTATTTTAAGAAAATAACCAGTGGTACAAAGACTGATTAATGTTTAAAACACAGTCTTATAATACAGAAGAACTGGAAAGAATCTGAATGTTCAGTAACAAAAATGATTACTAGTAAGTAACTGTGTAATACAAACATTAAGAGTAATTTTTAAAAACAGTTTAAAAATAAACCAGGAAAGGTGTTTATGCTACAATGTTAAGTGTACACACATATACACGCGCACACACATACAGTATGGTGCCAACTACATTAAAAATGTATAGAAAAAAAGACTGGAAGAAATTATAGTTGATAATGTCCCCTGATTCCTCAGACTTCTTCATTTATCTTAATTTTTTTTTATTATAGTTTATATTCAGTATCTTCACACTTAAAAAAAAACTACTTCCCATATTTCCTACAACGAACAAACTATTTTTAATTAAAAGAAAAAAACATTTTTAAAAGTACAAATTTTGTTTCAAGATAAACAGAAGAAAAGGGGGGAGAAAAGAGAAGAAAAAAACCAGAACAGAACTGTGGAAGGTTAGGTAGCCTTTCCTGTTAAAACACTCCACATACCTTTGGGTTCCTCAGCCACTGCCGCTGCTTCCCCTCCTCAGCTGCGTGTCCTCTCCCACTCTCTGCAGGCCCGTCTCCCTGGTCATGCCTTGCAAGCTGGAGACAGGACTCTACATGACACTGGTACTCTTTGAATGGGACCAAGGATTTACACAGATAACACTTCTCATTCCTAGCCAATCAGAAGAAAGAGAGAAAAAGCAGGTTTAAGGTTTGCTTTTGCCACTGGGCTCCTGGATATGTCTCAAATCATGTTTTTACATCTCAAAGTTATTCTGTGGAGGAGACATGTCAACCAATGCAGAGTTGCTCAGCAGGGCCGCCAATAAAACTAACCCAATGACAATCAAAAGGACTGAGTGATTAGTGGTTTTCCCAGGCTGTTTCTCTGTACCCTGCTGTTGTAGCCGTGGGATGGTAATAAAACCAGCACTTCTAACTATCTCAAGCAATGTTGATTGCTCTTCAGACATAAAATATTCTGTCAAACTCTTCTGAAATTAAGTTTAATCGTTTTTTCAAAGGGAAGTTAAAATTTAGACAGAAAAGGGAGCACCAAAAGCATTAAACCAAGATGACAATTTTACCAGCATAGATGAAATTGTCTGATTAGTAAATCAAGTCTGTCCATATGCTGACTTCCTTAATCCTACAACCTGCAACATCACCTAGGAAGTTACCAAAACCATGTGGTTCTGCCAAAGGCTTCTGCATAATTTCATACACATAGTTATTTTTTATCATTTTGTAACAGTTGAGTGGAAAGAGATGAAATTGTAAGGAGAATTGGACATTGGTGAAAAAGGAATCATTGAGAACAAAGGAAGAAAATGAACAATTATTAAGTATTTAATAATGGCTGAAGGTGCTTTAAATACAATTTCTCAATCTCCAGCCCTACTAAGAAGGTACTTCCCCCCCCCCGCCCCCCAAGGTTCTATAGCTAATAACTGTCAGAAGCCAGGTTTGCCTGACTCAAGATCATCTCAGTTTTAAGAAGCTAAAGGAAACTTTTCAAAGTTTGCTATTTTAATTTAGATTTCTCTTTCTGGCCATTACAACTCAATTACTACAGCAAGGGAAATTTGGATTGGCTCTAAGGAAGAATTTCTCTAGAGGTTTTTAAAATAGAAGAAATGTCTCAAGTATTTAATCATCTCGGAGAATGCAAGTACAACTCTTCCTTATGAGAAAAGCAGTCTATGGCCATACCACCCTGATCTCGGAAGCTAAGCAGGATCGGGCCTGGTTAGTACTTGGATGGGAGAAGCAGACCAGTGAACCTTGCATAGTTTATCAATTAATGCAAAAACATTTATTAATCTCCTACTATGTGAAAAATGGCATCACTGAGGAAGGAGCATATCCAAGTAGGCTTTGTCAGTTCTGCCCTCATGATCTCAACCAGTTACTTACAATTTCTCTTCAGTTTCTTTATTAAAAGAAAAAAGGATAACTGCCTTAAAAGCTATTGTAACAGTTATATAGTAAATAAAGCACCTAGCACAATGGCTGGTACACAGTATTAGGTACTCAACAAATAGGTTTTATTGTTGTTGCTGTCTCAGACACATTTTATTTGATGCTGAAGAATGGAGTATGAATGAAGGCAAGTATCTGCCTTCAGATAACTAACAGCCTAGCCAAGAAAACAGAAATCTCAAAAATGAACAAAACAAATTACTGCAATACACTGTGATGAATACAGCCCTAGAAGAATGTCCACATGACAGTGATTCCAAAAGGAGCAAGGGATCAACTCTGCTCAACTGGATTGGATAAGGAAACTCTAAAATGTAGGATCTAAATCTGTTTCTAAGGTAAACGTTTCTGCCTAATGAGTAACTGCTCTAATGTACTATGGGTAATATCTTTACTGTTGGGAAAAAGCACTCAAACCCAACCCTTAAAATGTGCTTTCTGGTCAAACTGCAACCCACAACCCAAGGAAGTCTTCTATATTGCCCAACCTTTTGCAACCCAGCTTCTGTTATCATTATATCACAAAATAGCTCGCTGCTTCCCCAAAACACTAAGAAGTAAATTAGAGAAAAAAATTTTTAATTTTAAAATTAGTTTAATGCAGCCAAAACAGTGGGGTAAACTGTACATAAAAAACTATTACACAGACACACGCACATTTTAAGTTATAAGGAATAAAGTTTATTTTGGTAGATAATGTTAAAATTAAAATTGCAGACGTGAGTAACATAACTCAACATCCTTAATTTGGTATGTGTGACACATTTTCTTGCTTTTTTGTATTCTACTAAATCACTATATCTAAACTGTTTTTATAAAACTAACATTGAAATTTAGCTTTACTGTTTTCACTTATGCTCTGATTCTAAAGTTAAGAACAATGTGGAAGTGGAGTGGGTAGCAGAATTTTTTTAGGGTAATAAAAAGGGATATACAGAAGCCACATACATTGACATAAAATGGGAATAATAAAAAGAAATTCAGTCATCCAAGCAACAAAGTGATTGGCAGGCCAAAGAAACCCAGGGAAAGAGAAAAATTGGTCTTTTTATTTTTTTTGTTTTTTATTCAAGCAATGTTATGTTAAACACAGCATACATACTTACTTCTCAATGTCTAAGGAAGTCTGGGCCACTATTCCACTGTCCCCCTTGCTCGGGGCCTTTATTTGTCTCCAAGTCAACACTTTCAACAAAAAATGAAGAAAAGCTATCAGTTAGCAGTAGACTCTGAATATAAAAGACAAAATGTATAGCAAGAAGCAAAGTTTAAAATCCTACTCCATGCACTGTCTGAGACATGCACTGTCTGAGAAACTTCTGATTTTCTAGTACAGAGAATAAACCTGTAAATATGTAGTGAAACTGCCAACTACAAGATATGTCCGTGTTTACTAATGAGATCTATTTATCCCTATTTGCCATGGTACCTAAAAACCTAGTCCACACCAAGACAGGTTTTTGTGTACTACCCAAACCTGCAGTATTTGAGAGAGAGATTTATACCTTTCCAACCAAAATTCTCACTGGCTTAAATTGAACATAAGGCAATTAAGGTCCATTCCCTCCCCTCCCCACTCATCTTCAAATAATATGTTTACAAGACAAATCTTCTAACTCTATACTTGGGTAACTACACTGTTGTGTAACCCCCCTCCCCTTAAACACAGAACTTTATATTTGTCCCTGTTTTTTGTGTGTGTGTTTTTTGTTTGTTTGTTTTTTGGCAATAGTTTACTGACTTTTAGAGAGAGAGGGAAGAGAGGGAGAAAGAGAAACATCGAAAATGTGAAAGTATACTAGTAACATTTCTGTGCTGTCTCCTGAATGCCCCTACCTGGCATGTGCCCTTGACTAGGAAATTGAACCGGCAACCTTCTGGTATATGGGACAATGCCTGACCAACTGAGCAACACCAGCCAGGAATGTCCCTGTTCTTTTCAGGTGAACACTGCAGTCTGTCAAGTTCATCTGCAATATTGATTCTGTCATCTAATGTTATTAGCTCTCTTTTCCAGTTTTGTGTCATCTGCAAATATGACAATCATCTTCATCCATATTTACAGAGAATCTTTAATATGTGAGTAATTTGGGGATATATAGGAAATTATGAGGTGGAGTTCTTGCCCTAAGGAGCTTACAATGTATTAAGGGAGACAACATACACTCAAATAACTATAACACCAGGTGTAAAGAGACATGCATAATAAAACAAGATGATACACACAAGTAACTATTAATAGAGTTTGTCTCTGTGGAGGATGACAGCGACACTTGAGGACTGAATTAGGAAGATGGTATGTTTTTCACCATATACTTTCTGTACTGTTGAATTAAGAATTAAAAGGGAGAGAAAGAGAGCAGAGTACAGAGAAAGTAGGTAATCTATTTCTAAGGTTCCTTCCACCCCAGAGATTTTATAAGTAAAAATAAAGTACTGCAGGAGAAAAATATCCTGGACATAGTTATATAGCCTTCAAATCCTCCTGCTACTCTATCAGCCAGCCCACATTTCTCCATCTTATGTACAAGGACTTCATGAGAGATTTTATCAAGGGCACTGCTAAAATCAATTCTTTAAAGGTTGGCACCTCACAGATTACAAAAACTTTTAAGGGTTGTTTTTCCTCTCTCTCTTTCCATTTGTTCCCCCATCTTGACTACCCAGTATTTTTTCCAAAAGAAATACTTGGAAACACTCCACAGACAGGGCTGGAAAAAAATTGCTTCTAGCACTTTATATATACCTCTATTGCACTTAGCACATTTCTGTTGTTATTTGTTTGTATGTCAGTCTCCTTTCTACATCATACAACTTTCTGAATTTAGAGATTCTGAGTTTTGTTTTGATCTCTTCAGCATCCTCCGCAAAATCTAGCACATATTAGACACTAATAAATATTTGCCAATTAAATCATAGCAATAGATTCAAGGAGGGAAAAAAGAGCTCTTGTTTTATGAGGACCTGCTCTGTACCAGAGACTTTATAATCATAATCTCAATCTTTAGAACAAAATCTACAAGGCATATGTCATTATTCATATTTTATAGATGATTAAATATTAAATAACTGATCAAGATCACAAAGCCAAAACAACAACAACAAACCACAATACAAATCTGACGTAAAAGAAGCATATGTTCTTTGATAAGAGTAGGCTACCTCTCCTGGAAAATAAAAGGGCAAAGGATGGGAAAAGAAAAAGTGTTAAGTAGTAAGTGAGTAGGCAGGTGGAAAAGCATCTGAGGGGAGAGAGTTGGCAGATTGTTGGGAATCACATACTAATTCTATTATTTAATGTTAGAATCAGGACGGACCAGACTGGGCCTTACAGCTAAGTTTTCCCTACAAAGAAACAGAAAAGTGTAAGTTGCTCTTAAAGGAGCTTCCAACTCCAGTTTATAAGGGTTGGTACAGTCACTTCAACCAGGAGCTGGCAGAGAATTCAGTATGAAACTGAAATCCAAAACCCTTGCTGCTGGTGACAAGAGCCAAAGATTTCAAAAAGGAACAATGGAGTCTGAGAACAACTACCAGGAAAACCACCAGGCAAGGTAAGCAAAATGGAGGAGAGGAAGAATGTCACTAAGATCTGAGAGATGGAAACACCCTAAGGAGTTGCCTTTGGGACTTGCCTCGGTAGGGTAAGACAAAAGAAAGCAGTAATGCTTGGTGGAATAAAGTACACTAACTTTAGAGTTGGACAAAATGGTGTCCAAACTGGGACTCTACTAGCTATTCATCATAGGCAAATAACTTAACCTGAGTATTAGTTTGACTTATCTACAAAATGAGATGGTACAGCATCTATCCTCATGAGTTTTGGTAAGAATCACATCAGGTAATCCAAATAAGCTGTAAGAGTTTCAGCCCACAGAAAGCACTCATCAAACATAAGTTGTTAATTGTAATTATCATTATTATTCCTCCAGACTTATTTTTTAGCCTTAGCCAAAGATTTAAGCCCATCCTTAGGATAAGCACTTATCAGCCTGTCTAAAATTTGAGTTAGGTCTTAGTTTTAAGTGGTTCCCATACTGATTTGTACAAACAGAATGAACAGCAAATAACCAAAGAATTATAGAACAATTATCAATACTATGTAAATATCAGCACATTTGTTTCCAAAAATCCAAAGACAAGCAATCACAAATAAAGCATATGGCCTAGAACTATAAGAGTGAAACAAATGGCTCCTTGAGGAGTAGAAATTATATATTCAAAGAAGAGAGATTTGTCATTCTCAATTTATCTCCCTCAACCTCAAAACCACCTCAGCAGAAAATAAGAGGAGGCCATAGACTTTATGTTCCTATTAAAAGTGCCCCTCACCCAGCCAGATACTTCCTCAGTGGGCTGTAAGAGGAAGAAGGAAAGGTGCACTTCACCTGCATGCTGCCTGCTTCAATGTGCTGACCTCCCGTAAGAACTAGCCTAATAGCAATGTGGCTATTTAAATTTAAATCTTAATTAGAATCTATAATAATAAAAGCATAATATGCTAATTAGATCAGATAGCTGAACGACCTTCCCGATGTCCTTCCAGACAAAGCAGGGCTAAAGCAGAAGGTGAGGCAGAGGTGATTAGGAGCGATCAGACAGGCAGGCAAGCAGTTAGGGGAGATCAGGCAGGCAGGCAAATGGTTTGGGACAATTAGTCAGGTAGGCGAGTGATTAGGGGCAATCCGCAGGCAGGCAGAGGGGTTAGGGGCAATCAGGTAGGCAGGCAGGCAAGCAAGCGGTTAGCAGTCACGGATTACAAGAGGGATCTCCAAAGAGTCCCAGATTGCAAGAAGGTGCAGGCAAGGCTGAGGGACCCCCACTCCCCGCCTTGCATGAATTTCGTGTACTGGGCCACTAGTTAAATATAATTTAAAATTCAGCTCAGTCCCATGAGCCACATTTTATGTGCTCAAAAGCCATGTGACTACGGCTTTCATATTTGACCCCACAGATATAGAACATTTCTGTCATTACAGACAGTTCTATTGCCTAGCACTGCTCCTTTAAGAGATAACCAGGATAAAACATGCCTTAAGTTTGTTTACCTTGACACCACAAGAAATCCAAGCCTCCCTGGCATCTCTCATCCCCACAAAACTCTACTCTGACTCTGGGAAGACTTTTCTAATCTGACCCAATCATCCATTCCTACTCTTGAAATGACTCTGCCTTCTGGAATTCCTGCCAGTGATCAACAACCCCCCCTCACACACTCCCATGACATTCTCAACCTCCTCTGAACATTCTCTTCATCTTCTTGATCTTACTGAAAGATGGCTGTCCTCTGAGGATACTTCTTTGCCTTGTACCTTCTTCCTCATACCACAGCACTACTGACCTGGGGTTGGGGTAGATATCCTCTTCTTCCTCGTTGCTTCCAGCCTACTGGAAAAACCTAGTTTGAAGCACAAATCAGTGTTACCCCTGCTACCCAACCCTGAAGTAGTCATTGCCTATTCTCCTGATCACCTGCTCTCCACCAGCCACCCACATTTCCCAACCATTCAATGAAAATTTTAATACATCACTGTCTTTCTCTTCACCACTCCTGCCATCATTCTTGGTGATTTAAATATCTATAAACTGTATTACACTGAAGCATATCAAGTTGTAGATTTTATAGGTTTCAACCTAAGGTATGATGCATCAAACGCTCTTGCCTCTCAGTTCCTTGATGACTATTCCAACCTTTCTCAGGGGGGGTTCTGAGAAAGAAGTAAGCCTGGTGCCCTGAGGCATACATTGTATGTGATGAGTTGATCTTTGTCCGCTGCATCTAGAATAGTTGGTACCAGTTTTGTACCATCCTTGAGAGAAGTAGGATAACAATCTGTTCATTGTCTATGTTTCATGATTCCAATGAGAAACCATGGTTGTAACAGTGCCACTTATAAGCTCTCAATTTCAGATGTCCCATTTTCTGATCACCACCACTGATCTTTTCTTACTCCCTCTAAATACCTTAATTCCAATAATTTCTCAGCCTCTCTAGGATATCTAATTCCAAACTATCACTTTTTTCAGTGTTCTTTGCCCTCTTATGTTCTCAATTTCCTTCTTTCCTAAGTTAGATCTCATGGTTATCTAATCATTCCCTTGAGTATTCCCTCAACTTACTTCTAATTTCTTTTGTACTCCTTGGCAAAACCCAATTTTAGTTAAGTCCAGCACTCCACCTATTA